CTGCACCCTTCTCTTGGAATGTCTTCTCACTCAGCCTGTCGTATCTCTGGCCTCCACCTTTTCTATCAGAGCTTACCCCACTTCCAGCACGGGTTCTTTTCTGCCTTTCCAAACAACACTCCTATCCACCAGGGGGCCCAGGCCCTATCCCTGACTCGCCTGATCCTCCCATAGGCCCTGCAGACCTTTGCCAAGACCTCAGGCACCATGAATGACTACCCAACATGGCGTCGGACTCTGCTGCGCCGTGCGAAGGAGGAGGAGATGAAGAGGTTCCGCAAGGCCCAGGTGAAGCCCAGGGGTTCCCAAAATTCTGATGGGGTCAAAGTTCTGAGTTCCTCCAGTGCTCTGTTCTTGAGCAACCCAGAGACTCCTGGGTATCCTGTCTTGTACCCCTCAGACCATCCAACGGCGACTAAATGAGATCGAGGGTGCCCTGAGGGAGCTAGAGGCCGAGGGCATGAAGCTGGAGCTGGCCCTGAGGCGCCAGAGCAGTGAGTGACAAGCTAGGACACCCCTCTGCCTCCTAGCACTGTGTTCAGCTCCACGCTGCAGCCCATAGGAGTCCCAGTGGCTGTGCCACACAGCTAACACATACCTGTGACACCCTGCTCTCCTGTGGCCCCTAAACCTATGACTCCTTCGGTGCTGGCTGGAAACCTCCTGCCCACCCCACCCATCTTCCTTCTTCTCAGGTTCCCCAGAACAGCAAAAGAAACTATGGGTAGGACAGCTGCTACAGCTCGTTGACAAGAAAAACAGCCTGGTGGCTGAGGAGGCTGAGCTCATGATCACGTAAGGGGAAGGGGATGGTGACAGTGGTCCTCGGGCCAGGCTCCAGCCCCTTGGGCACCCTAGACAGCTCTGCTTCTACAATCCCTGACCTCCACAGGGTGCAGGAGTTGAACCTGGAGGAGAAACAGTGGCAGCTGGACCAGGAGCTACGAGGCTACATGAACCGGGAAGGTAGGTGAAATGTGGGGAGAGGCAGACACATCCCAGGGTTGTGTCATGCAAGCCTCATGATCTCAGATACTGATCAAGCAGCATGGTCCCTTCTCACTTCAGTTCAATCAGAGCTGCACAGTTGGCTTTTATACAAGATCTCCTTTAAAAAAAAAATGGTGCTGCTCAGTAGTGCTAGAAAACCACTGGTGTTGGCAACCGTCCTAATTTGGCAGCTTAGGAAACAAAGCCTGGGTTATAGAAGTCACATAGGCTGGGATTAGGCTGTGGCTCTCCTGCTTCTCTGCCTAGTTCCCTGTTCTCTGAGCTTTGTCTCCCCCGTTTTAGAAACCCTAAAGACAGCTGCTGATCGGCAGGCTGAGGACCAGGTCCTGAGGAAGCTGGTGGATTTGGTCAACCAGAGAGATGCCCTCATCCGCTTGCAGGAGGAGCGCAGGCTCAGCGAGCTGGCCTTGGGGATAGGGGCCCAGGGCTAGAAGAGGGTGGACTGTCTGCTTTCATTCTCAGAAGGAAAACACCTCACCCCAGCACAGAGCCACCCCTGTTCATCTGGGCTGCCTGGCAGAGAGCCTTGCTGTTTACAATTAAAATGTTTCTGCCACAAACAGGGCTCACACTGCCTACAGGTGGGAGGTGGGGGCGTGTATGGGGACAGGAGATGTGTAGGAGCCTAAAGGTCTGTAGTGTGACAGTCACACTGACCCCTGGCTCCCATTGCCTCTATAAGTAAAAAGGCAGAGCCACTAAAGTGCCAAGCTTTATTGTTCTTTAGTTCTGTCCCCCTCCTGCTGCCCCAGGAGTAGGGCTGGCTGAGGCTCTGGGCCCAGGTCCTGGGCCTCCCTTGCCCTTCCTAGCACGTGCTGGAGCTCAGCGTGGGCCCTATATAAGCCATTGACCTCCTGCACGTGGAAGAGGTAGAACGCACCTGCCCACAGCACCAGCCCTACGCTGGGGGTCCAGAGCAGTATGGCAGCTTCCCTGGCCCCTCCTCCAGCCGCCAGGACACACAGCAGTGCCAGGAGAAGCAGCCCCAGGCCAATCACATAGCTAGCGAAGGCAGCCCACCAGCGAGCCTGAGCCATGCCCAGACCCAGCTCCGTCCAGGCCTCCTTTAGCACACTCATCAACGGCGACCTCTCTGCTGGTCCTACAACAGGGCAGGGCAGTGGGGCAGGAGAGAGTCAAGAGTGGAAGGGCTGCTTCAAGCGGGGCAAGGGCCAAGTTAAGGGTGGGGGTGACTCACTGTGGGTAGAGTTGGGGCTCTGCTGTGGGGGGCTGTGCCTCACAAACAGAGTAGCCATCAGGGCTTCATGATCAGAGAGGGGGGTGCCGCTGTAAGGGTCGTTGCCTGTAGTGGTTTCAAGACTCTTACAGGAGATGTAAAACCCAGAAACTGCCTAGGAAAAGTAAGGGCCAGAGAGAAGCTTATATATGAGGGCCTCTTCCCAGAGAACCAGCTCCTGGCTACCCCACTTTCCAACCATCAGTGGTCCAAGACTAGACTAGTTGAGCAAAGGATCTATACAGGTTGGTGGTAGACAAAGAGGTACAGTGGATGAAAGTATGTTGAGGGGAGGAGCCCAACCTTGTAAAGCAGGTAGTCAATGCGGACACCAAAGGGAAACGGCTTCAGCTCCTGCTGGTTGACGTAGCAGTTGTTGGGTACCATGGTGTTGCCTTCTTCAGAGCCCTAAGGGAATCACTGGCTCATACTAGGATGTAGGGGAGGAGGAGGGAGAGAAGCTGGGGATATAGGTGGGGAAGTAACAGGCAAGTCCTTTCACCTTGAAGTCCCGAGTTTCAAGGTAGGCATCACGAAGCCCTGTCCACTCCTTCAGCAGGCAGCAGCCCAGGTCTTCTGGGTGCATGTTGAGGTCTCCACACAACAGAACCACGTCTGCCTTCTTGGATGTGTGGCTGGGGGAACCAGGTTGGTGAGGCGGGAGTTCTTCCCTCACCAGCTCTTCCTCATGACTGGGGCCTTGTTCACCCCCAGCCCCTGGGTCCCATCCCACTTCCCCGTTCAAACCCAGGCTCACACACTGGATGAACTGGGCCAGTTCCCAAGCTTGGGCCACGCGATGTGCTAGGTAGATGTCCTTCCGTCGATTGTATTCGGCATGGAGCTGAGCAAGACAGATGAGATCACAGCAGATAAGACTGAGGGTCCCAGGGGTATGTCTGAATCAAGCCTGTGTCTGTCACTTGGCATGGTGTTGGGTATAGAATGGATAAGCCTTGCCCATTGCTTCCTTATAAGATCTTGCCCCCACACCTCACCCCCAGGCATTAGAGCTAGAGGAGTACCATCTCTCTGTCCCAGGACTGGGCTGCATGTCCCAGCCCTAGGCACTGCCAGCTTCACTCACATGGGTCACATAGGCGTTGAGCACCATGCCGCTTAGATGGAGCACCAGCAGCCCCACAGCCTTCCCACTGAACCAGTCACCATGATGGATCTGCAGGCAGGAGGAGACAGAAACTCAGGGCACCACCACCATCTTTCTGCCCATCCCCTGCAGCTCTCAGAGGGCTGCCTCCTGTACCTTGTATTACTGGAGGTGGGGAAGGGAGGTGGAAGAGGTCAGAGGTCTGGCTTACCATGTAGGGGTAGCCATTGAGGGTGTAGATGTGCTGGGTGAGCTCCTGGATTGGGTGTTTGGAGAAGACACAGAGGCCACTGCCAATGATTCCGCTGAAAGCCAAGCCCTGCTTAATAACCAGAAAAACAGGGAGAGACACCCAGCCCTCTTCCCCTCCCTTGTCTTCCAGCTTTGATCAGCTATTTTTTTCTTTTTCTACTGCTGGGACTAGCCCTAGAACAAAGGCAACAGCCTTTGGAGGAGTATACGGCAGCCAGAAAACAAAGCTGAAATGGGCTGAAGTCATAGGACCTTCTTGGTTCACCATTCCCCTTCTCACATCCAGAGGGAGAGAAGGCTGGAGGAGACTGGAGGGTGCAGGCTGGATAGGGAAGGGCTGGCAGGGCCAAGAGCCTCCTGGGATGAAAACAGGCTTCAGGCCCGTGGGCTTCTCACCTCCGGAAGTGGTGTGCAGCTGGGTAGGTAGGTGACAGCTTCTGTCTCAGGTACTGGAAGTCCTGCTCACTCCACACCTAAGGGAGGCGGTAAGGATGTCTGCCTGGCCTTTCCCCAGGGGGAAGGTCTGCCCCCAGGTGCCCTCCTTCCAGCCTGGGTTCCACATGGTGCTGCACAATCTCACCTCCTCCAGCAAAGCCAGGTCGAAGCTCTCCTGGTTCAGAAAGTCGCCCAGGCGCCTCATGCGGTCGGCCCGATGCTTGCTTAAGTAGGGAATGCCCCTAAGGAAGGGAAGAGCGGGACAGGTGAGGTGACCGCTGGGACCACCGGCGCTGGGGCCAGATGTGGACTTTGGAGGTTCGGGTTCCCCTACACCCTGAGATCGTGGCGCGGGATGGGGTGAGGAAGGCTGCATGGGTGCGAACGGAAGGCGGCCCCCAGACCGCACTCCGTGGACGCGCTCACCAGCAGTTGAGGTTGAAAATCCGCAGTCGCAGGGAGAAGTTGGGCTTCATGGCTGGGGCACTCCAGAGGCGCAAGGCGGCCCTAGCTCCCCAGCGACGGCCGCGATGAGGACGGGGGCGGCCGGCGGCGCCTTCTCCCCGGGCCGTTCCTTCCTCGCAGGCGGCGCGCACAGGTGGGCACCAAGCTCGCGCTGCTCAGGCCGGGCCTGACTCCCGCGTTCCCCCGACAACCGGCCGGCTGGTTCCAATCAGGCGGGCCGCCAACCCGGAAAGACGATCCGCTGCCGAAATCCGGGTGCCCAAGCTCGGCGAGGGCCGCGCGCGAGGACCCTGGGGGCCCGCAGAGCGCCCCCGGGTGGGCGGCTCCCAGTTCCTTTTCCTCCAAGCTCCTCCCCGGCCGCCGCGGCCCGCGCGCCGGCGGCCCAGCAACAGGCGCAAAGTTGAGGAAAGGCCCGGCCACCACGGGCCGCCCTCGGCCCCGCCCCTGGGCCCCGCCTCCTGCGAGCGGCGGAGGCGGGGCCGCGCAGTTGCCGGAGCGACGCGCAGTGTTTGGGGTCACCGGCGTCCCCGCGCGCGGCCATGGCAAGGCCGCGGCCCTGCGAGCCCAAGCACGCCAGGTGCGGCTCGCCGTCGCTGCCCGAGCGGCCGCTGCAGGTGAAGGTGGTGGGGCTCTTCAGCTGCCCCAACTTTCAGATTGCGAAGAGCGCCGCTGAGGTAACCACAGAGAAACCTCCGTCGCGGGCCGCCCTCCGCGCTCCCGGCTCTCGGTGGCGTGGACTGCAGGCGCGGCGCCTCCTCGAGGCGGCAGGGGTCGAGGCCCCACTGGCCGAGGAAGGGGTTGGCGTGTCCTAGCCGGGCGGGCTCCGTCTGGAGGACCGGGAGGAGCGTATAGGGGAGCAAGTGCGGGTCCAGGGGCTGGCGTTCAACTTTGCGACGAGATCTGAGCGAAGGAAGGGTTCAGAACCGTGCTGGGAAATAAGGAAATCCCCTCCGAGGCACACACACACGCATACACACACACCCGCGGATTTCGTTCTACGTCAATTTTTTATTTAGTTATAGATTTTAAAATTCATGGAAAAATGATTACTATATAACTAGCTGATTTTTACAATGCCCCCCCCCGACCCCCGCCAAGCGATTTTTGTAAACTATTTTCATTCGGGGAGGCTCTTTGAATTTTATAGACCCGTCACTGCGTTCCTATCGAACTAGATGCTTCACAAGTGCTTTGGAAAATCATTTGTTTGTAAACACTCAGAACGATATTAAAGGAAAAGCACTTGAGGAAACTGGAAGAATTTGGCCAGATCAGTCATGCTGCAGCACACTTACAACCTGAAATGCAGGAGAAATGTATGAAATGACGGCGTGTAGAATTCAGCCCTTCTTACAGGATTTGCTCCAGAAATGTTGTCCATGGCAGACTTCTTGCCGAACCTCCCTTGACTCCAGGACCATGCCTTAGTTAATGTTTTTAACTCCCGAAGTGCCCAGCTGGATACTTGACAACAAAATGTTTCCAAAGAGAAGACATCTTGGGCGCGGTGACTCACGCCTCTACTCTCAGCACTTTGGGAGGCAGAGGCAGAGTTCTAGACCAGCCTGGCCAACATGGTGAAACCCCGTTTCTACTAAAAATACAAAAAATTAGCTGGGCGTGGTGGCGGTTGTCTGTAATACCAGCTACTTAGGAGGCTGAGGCACAAGAATCCCTTGAACCCGGGAGGCGGAGTTTGCAATGAGCTGAGATCACACCATTGCACTCCAGCCTGGGCAACCCGTCTCAAAATAAATAAATAAATAATAAAAAGAAAACAAATGATCAGAAGTCTGTGAAAATAATACATGAATCATCAAAAGTAGAAAATATGGTCTGTGTTGCTTGGGCAGACGGGATCAGCAACCTTTTATTACCAAAGTTAATGGCCATAAAGCTAATTACAAAGTTAATGTATTTAATGTTTCGGGGATTTCTTTTTTTTCTCGTTTGTTTTTTTTTCACTTTTTTTCTGAAGGCACATATTTTCTGTGCCTACTCCACGTTGTAAAGAAAGTGTTGGCAAGTTTTTTTCTGTAAAGTCCAGATAGTAAATATATTAGGCATTCTTGGCAATAGAGTCTCAGTCACACCTCTGTAGCTTTGTCTTGTGTTGCAAAAACAGACACAGAGATGGAAATAAATGACAGTATTCCGCTAAAACCATATTGTGGACACCGAATTTGACTTGTGTCTAATTTTCACATAACATGAAATATGATTCTTTTGATTTTTTAAAACTGTTTACAGGCCGAGCATGGTGGCTCATGCCTGTAATTCCGGCGCTTTGGGAGGCTGAGGCAGGAGGATCACCAAATCAGGAGTTCAAGACCAGCCTGTCCAACATGGTGAAACCCCATCTCTACTAAAAGTACAAAAATTATCCAGGCGTGGTGGCGGGTACCTGTAATCCCAGCTACTCGGGAAGCTGAGGCTAGAGAATCGCTTGAACCTGGGAGGTGGAGGTTTCGGTGAACTGAGATCACGCCACTGGGCAAGAAGAGTGAGATTCCGTCTTAAAAAAAAATACTGTTTACAAATCTAAAAATTATTCCTGTCCAACCCCTGTTGTAGAAGACACTAGGTCAAGAAAACAGTATCTTTGTTATATTAATGTCAATTTCCCTTTCTTAAACTTGTACCTACTGTAGTTGTATTCAAATATGAAAATTCAGCTAGTTTTTTTTCTTTTTTTGGAAGAGACAGGGGTCTCACTATGTTGCCTAGGCTGGTCTTGAACTCCTGGGCTCAAGCAGTCCTCCTCAATATCCCGAAGTGCTGGGATTATAGGCATGGGCCACCACACCCAGCCTCTAGTTCTGTCTTAATAAAGGATATCTGAATATATTCCTAACGTGGTAATTTGTGAGTGATCCCAGATGCCTGATTAACTGACAAAGATTTAGATTTGTGTTGAGTGTTCCCAACACAAAGAAATAATAAATATTTGAGATGATGGATATGCTAATGATAGGTATACATTATATGTATCCAGACATCACTACCCCATAAATATGTACAATTATTATATGTCAATTCAAAAATAAAAACAAAGCGTAAAAATCAAACACACAAAACATTGAGATTTGTATAAAATAAGAATAAATATTGCATGTATTTTAATTTGGATATAGTCCGTTCTACAACAAATACTAAATTATCAAAAAGACATGATGTGTTTCATTTGAAAACTGTTGGATTTATAGTTTATTCCAGATGGTTAGAAATAGCAGTCAACCGGGCCGGGTGCGGTGGCTCATGCCTGTAATCCCAGCACTTTGGGAGGCTGAAGCAGGCAGATGGCCTGAGGTCAGGAGTTTGAGACCAGCCTGGCCAACATGGTGAAACCTCATCTCTACTAAAAATGCAAAAATTAGCTGGGTGTGGTGGCGGGCGCCTGTAATCTCAGCTACTCAGGAGGCGGAGGTAGAAGAATTACTTGAACCCAGGAGACAGAGGTTGCAATGAGCTGAGGTCATGCCACTGCCCTCCATCCTGGGCGACAGAGCAAGACTCCGTCTCAAAATATATATGTGTGTGTGTGTATATATATATGTATATGTGTCAACTTGAAGTATTGCCTCAAACTGAGCACAGACACTGGAACTGAGAAACAGGACGTGTCACCTGTTGCTCGGGGACAGAAGGGAATGGCCTGATTATCATTGCCGTCTTCATGAGTATTGCCAAAGTGGGCCACACTCACATCCTGGTTTTCTCCCCTTGGAATACTCACTCCTGATGACCTGTGCTAGGCCAGCACCCTCTTTTGGACCACGACAGGGCCTGCAAGCACTGTCCCTAGCAGGGAAAGTGCCTCCTGCAGCGGCTATCACTTTTCCCTTTGGTCCATCTACTTCCCAGACCCACTCAGAAAAGAAGCCTGTTATTGCCTCACCTGCCTTCTCTTGCTTTAGAGGGAGACAGACATCAAGAACCAAGCCTGAATTGCTGACCAGTAAGAATTTTCTCTGATTCCTACAGACAATCTATGTCAAACTAAAACATATTCAGTATCTAAACCTAAACTGATTTCGTACTTCTCTTTTTCCTAAGGGGTATAACCGCAATGTTATTATCTTTTTGGTCATCCCCCATTCATCAGTGAATTAAAGCAAGAACTTTTGTTTATGTTATAAGTAAAGTGTCTGTAGATCCGCTGAGGTTAACAAGAGTTGTACTTTGGGAAAAACTAGTCCTAAAAGAACATAGCATATCACAAAGCTATTGGCATTAACCCATTTATATATTCCTTTGTTTATTCAGCTGCTGTGTGCCAGAGGTTGTGGCAGGTGGGAATCTAGGAAGACTAAGAGAAGAGTTTGTTTCTTTTGTTTGTTTTGTTTTGTTTTTGTTTTTTTTTGAAATAGAATCCCACTCTGTTGCCCAGGCTAGAGTGCAGTGGCGTGATCTCGGCTCACTGCAACCTCTGTCTCCCAGGTTCAAGTGATTCTCTTGCCTCAGCCTCCCCAGTAGCTGGGATTACAGGTACACACCCACCATGCTTGGCTAATTTTTTCGTATTTTTAGTAGAGACAGGGTTTTGCCACATTGGCCAGGCTGGTCTCAATCTGCTGACCTCAGGTGATCTGCCAACCTCAGCCTCTCAAAGTGCTGAGAGCCACTGTGTGAGCCACTGCGCCCAGCCTCTAAGACATAGTTCTTGGCTTCGAGGCACTTACACAAATAAGCTCCCAGGACTGGGGAGCAACTTGGAGGTGAGCACAAGGGCCTCTGAGAGTGAGCAAGGAGTTTCTCAGTCAGACCTGGGCGTGTGTTGTATAAAACTTCCGGAAACCCCGTAAACATTGGGGAACATGATATTGACTTTAAAAGAGAACTAACTCTAAAATAATTATTCTATTTTGAAATCCAGAATCTGAAGAATAATCATCCATCCAAATTTGAAGATCCTATATTAGTTCCTCTTCAAGAATTTGCATGGCAGCAATATCTACAGGAGAAAAAAAGGGTAAAGGATACTTGGGATGTGGGGGATGTAGACAACAAACCAAGTTTTGCCTGAATTATTTATGCATTGTTTTGGAAAAACTGAAAGAGTAATTTTAGTGTAACTAGATTTTATTTCTCTAAATTATGTACTTTTCCTAAATTATATTAATCATTTACCAAGCTGGGTTTTTTGTTTTTGAGATAGGGTCTCACTCTGTTACCCAGGCTGGAGTGCAGTGGGGCGATCTTGGCTCACTGCAGCCTCAACCTCCTGGATTCAAGCAATCCTCCTGCCTCAGCCCCGAAAGTAGCTGGGATTACAGGCACACACCACCACATCTGCGTAATTTTTGTATTTTTTTAAGAGATGGGGTTTTACCGTGTTGCCCAGGCTAGTCTCAAACTCCTGAGCTCAAGTGATCCACCCACCTCGGCCTCCCAAAGTGCAGGGATTACAAGGGTGAGTCATTGTGCTTGGCCACCAAGCTGTTTTTTCGTTTTTGTTTTTTGTTTTTAACTACATCATTTGGACTGGGCGCAGTGGCCCACGCCTGTAATCCCAGCACTTTGAGAGGCCAAGGCGGGCAGATCATGAGGTCAGGAGATGAAGACCCCATCCTGGCCAACATGGTGAAACCCTGTCTCTACTAAAAATACAAAAATTAGCTGGGCATGGTGGTGCACGCCTATAATCCCAGCTACTTGGGAGGCTGAGGCTGGAGAATCACTTGAACCAAGAAGTCCGAGGTTGCCGTGAGCCAAGATCCCGCCACTGTACTCCAGCCTGGCGACAGAGTGAGACTCCATCTCAAAGAAAAAAAAAAAAGTTCAACATTTACAGAATTTTCCTTTGGAAAGCATGAGATAAAGGTAAGATCAATGGTGCCATTTGCTGCTGATGGTTAGTTACCCTGTCTCCCTGCACATCACTTATACTTCTTCTCACACCCTGGCACTCAGCAGGTTAACGTGGCCTGGTCCTCTTGGCCCTTAAACTCTGGAAGGTGTTGATGGTGTACCTCACAGAGACAGCCGGGGCTTCTGTGGGACTCTTGCCTAGGGAAGTTCTGATGACAGACACCGAGCTCCCACAGGGCAACCCTGTCCTAGTTGAAGCTTCCTTCTCTGCATTCTCCCCTCTATCTGTACCCTCAGAGAACTCCACACCTTAGGGCTAGCAGAGCTTGTCCAGGGATGATAGGTTTCCTCTTGGGTGACAGCCTCATCAGTTGGTAGTGCTGCCTAGAGCATGTGATAAGAAGGATGCTAAGGTGGCATCCTGGCTTAGCAATATCTTGTGTTGGGGAGGGTGGGATGCTTGTCACCCCTGGCCTAGTCTTGTAGACGGTCCCAGTCCTAGTTTCCCTGCCCTACCCCCTCTCCCCCATGGCTGATGAAACCTCATTTCCCTTAACCAGAGCAGTTTCTGTTGTTCTGTGCTGGGTTGCACAAGGATGTCCTGTGATCCTGTGATTATCATGGAGGCAGCGCGGCTTTATGAGACCAGTTCATTCTCTGTTCAGTCACATGAACAGTGCAAGACTGAATAAGAATACCGTTTGTTAAGCCTTACATGTTCATAGCCTTAAAAGATTTTCACTGGAATTCAAATAGAACCAAACACTTACACTGCTGCTTTTTATATGACAGACACTATTCCAGACACACACACACACACACACACACAGAGAGAGAGAGAGAGAGAGAGAGAGAGAGAGAGAGAGAGAGACAAACACATACATATATATATATTTTTTTTCTTTCTTTTTTTGTAGAAACAGGGTCTCGCTATTTTGTCCAGGCTGGTCTCAAACTTCTGGCTTCAAGCAACCCACCTGCCTTGGCCTCCCAAAGTGTTGGGATTACAGGTGTGAGCCACTGTGCCCAGCTTATATACATAAATTATAATCCTTCCAACAACTCGGTGAGAAACAGTCCTGGTTTGCCTGGGATGGAGGGGTGTCCTAGGATGTGGGAATTTCAGTGCTAAAAGTAGGCTAGTCCTAGGCAGATCACAACTGTTGGTCACCCTAACATAAAACAGTACTTTTTTTTTTTCTTTTTTATCAAACTTACTATGTGGCCTACCAGTGTCATGCTCTCCACCCACAGGAAAACTAAGATCTCCTGGTTTGTGGTTTGCACCCACTTGTCTTTTGAATTCCCACTGGACTCTAGGAAATTGGTGTGGATTCTATTCCCCAGTTTCCCTCCCCTTTCAGCCTGGGTTACCTCAAGATGTTTTGTGTTCTCTTCCTGCTGCCTCTCTCATGGGTCTTGAATGAGGTTTTCCAGTTCATCATTGCTGCTTCGTTCCACCTGTGATATTCCTTATCCTTCCTTTCATCCCCCTCCCTCCCTCCTCCTCTGGCTGTTTGTCACCTTAACCTTTTCTTCCTTCTCAGGGGCTCCCTTGTCCTTCATCAATGTAAGCATTGTGTCTTGTGTCTTAAGTAGTGCTTCTTAGCATATTTGGTCTCTCTGAACTCATTAGGTTCAATTGGCCTTAGGCTTCAGCAGAATGTAGTGCCATCCCTAAGGGGATGGTTTCAGGGCCATTGGGAAGGTCCCTCTGCTGCAAAGAAGGCAGCCTCATACTCTTAGTGCTGAAGGCCCTAGAAACTATCGGGTCCATGCTGTTCACTTGAGGCAGGCGAGGACGCCTCCCTAAGTATGGAGGAGACAGAGCAAGGCATTTACATCTTTAGCCTCCAAATAAAACATACTTTCTACTGCATTTCTCCTACCAAGCTAGCTAAAATATTGATAGTGACATTTTTTTCTCCTGTTTAGAAAGTTTTGGGTCCTGGCAGAGTGTGGTGGCTCACGCCTGTAATCCCAACACTTTGGGAGGCCAAGGCGAGTGGATCACCTGAGGTCAGGAGTTTTAAGACCAGCCTGGCCAACACGGCGAAACCCTGTCTCTACTAAAAATACAAAAATTAGCTGGGCATGGTGGCGGGTGCCTGTAATCCCAGCTACTCGGGAGGCTGAGGCAGGAGAATTGAACATAGGAAGTGGAGGTTGCAGTGAGCTGAGATCACGCCATTGCACTCCAGTCTGGGCGACAGAGCAAGACTCGGTCTCAAAAAAAAGGAAAAAGAAAGAAAGTTTGGGGTCCTGTAAAATAAGATAACACTGATAAATTTAAACACTACAGGAAGTATTGACCCACTGGCTCTATCAGTGATTTATAGTTCAGCATAGACAAGTCTCTTCTCTGCCTAGAAGCAGGTTTTGTTAAGGGCATAGGAAGCAAGCAATAGGATATTAAACCTCCACAGGAGAATGAAGCAAGTTGGCAAGCTGAATGTAAACTGTTCCCCAAACTAATATTTCTCCAATTGTAGTCTCTAGAGCAGCAGCACCAGCACCTCCTAGGAGGTTGTTAGACATGCACATTCTGGCGGGTTACAATGGCTCACACCTGTAATCCCAGCACTTTGGGAGGCTGAGGTGGGAGGATCTTGAGCCCAGGAATTCAGGACCGGCCTAGGCAATACAGTGAGACCCCATCTCCATAAAACAAATAAATAAATAAGTGCAAATTCTCAGGCACCATCCTAGAATCAGAGTATTGGGGGAAGGGGAGAGGGAACTCAAATTCTGTGATTCTGAGAATCTGAGATCAATGAGAATTTCAGATTCAGTGATTCTCATTGCCCACGAAAGTTTGAGCATAGCTGTTCCAAATTATTCATGGTTTGCCTGGCTGATACTGGGTAATAATAAACCAGATCTCCTCGGAGGGGGCATCCCTCAAGCCCACTGGAGATTTAGAAGGTTTACCATCAGCATTGTGTTGATGAAAACGTTAATACACTGCATTTTGAGGGGCTGAAGACACAGTGCTAAGGAAGGTGAGTTTTCTTCCTCACTGCTCCTGATTGTGCCACAGAAATCCCTGTTGACCCTCATAAGTCATTTCCTAACCTTAAGCCCCATGTCACCCAAAAAACATTTTCACAGTCCTCTGCATTGAACCCCACGTCTTACCTGGACCTCCTATCCTTTCCAAGTACGCACACAGTAAAATGTGCTTTAGGAATGAAGACAGAGACTGAATTTTGTTTGCAAGTTAATATAACAAGTATGCCAGGCTCACGATGATTTTTGTTACTAGATTACCATTTATCTTTCTATTAATGTGTCAACCTAAAAGGAAGAAGCTGAAACAAAATTAATATAGAGTGTTTATCTGGGCCAAGGTTGAGGACTGCAGCCCAGGACACATTTCCAAGTTGCCTTGGGAAGTGCTCCAGAGAACAAAATAGAGGCTCAAGTGTTTAAAGAAAAAAGAATGAATCAGAAGAGGGGGCGATTACAAAAGCTGTTGGTCAGGAATTGTCATTGATTTTCAGAAATAACATTGGTTAGCAATTGGCTGTATGTTGTTGAACTATAGGGTGGATGGCTTTTTATGGCTGTTTGGTGTCAACCTAGAGCCCACATAGTAAGTGGAGGTAATTATTTAGCTCCAGGGGGAGTGAGAAATGACTGCTATTATATTTTAAATGCCTTTCTGGGCATGATCATTTAAAGGGGCTCACATTCCTCAGATAAATTTTTTCATTTGTAACATTTTTGTGATTACTTTTTAGATCATTCTTTGCTTTTAGTGATGTCAGATTCTTAAAAATGTTCTTAAATTATTTCTGAGAGCAAAATTCTAAAGGACGATAAAAATGTTTAAAAATTATTTTTAAAAGATTCAATATTAGAGTTGACAAATTCAGACCTAGAGTTGATCCCAAACTCTGGCTTATGGGTTTAGCAAGTTTCCCCCACTTCTTACTTTTTTTCTTTTTTTTTGTCCTTTTCCCTTACAGGAACTCAAAAATGAAACCTGGGAATATTCCTCCTCTGTGATGTCTTTTGTTAATGGTCAGTTCCTGGGTGATGCATTGGGTCTACAGAAATGGGCCCACGAGGTGTGGGATATAGTTGACATTAAACCCTCTGCACTTTATGATGCACTCACTGAGGATTTTTCCACGAAATTCTTAAGAGATACCAAGGCAAGTTATACTAATTTTTAAAGAAAAGTCATGGAATCTTTGACCCTTTATATTGATTCAGCATTAATCATTGATATCCTAACGAAGGAGATTGTAAAAAAGTAGGAGACTAAGTTTAAAGCCTAGTTTCATTTCCATTTGCAAAAGATTATAATATGGTGGTATGTAAAGCAAGTGTGCCTCACAGCACATGGGCTGCACAGGGAAATCGTCTCTGTGCAGACATTTCTACTTCCCATTAGAGATTTATGTGCATGAATAATCTATTTTAAAATACAAAGACCACCCCCTCAGAGAAGGTAAAACCTATCATCCATTTATCTTGAGTGTGAAATATTTAAATTAAGACAGTCCAACATCTAGGCAAGAGCTACTAAGCTAAGACAATGGAAAGTTGATTGAAGAAAGGTGACATTTTAAAGCATGAACACAGGCTGGGTGCGGTATCTCATGCCTGTAATCCCAGCACTTTGGGAGGCCGAGGCAGGCGGATCACAAGGTCAAGAGATCAAGACCATCCTGGCCAACATGGTGAAATGCTGTCTCTACTAAAAATACAAAAATTAGCTGGGTGTGGTGGTGTGTGCCTGTAATCCCAGCTACTCGGGAGGCTGAGGCAGAAGAATCGCTTAAACCTGGGAGGTGGAGGTTGCAGTGAGCCGAGATCGCGCCACTGCACTCCAGCCTGGTGCAGAGTAAGACTCCATCTCAAAAAAAAAAAAAAAAAAAAAAAAGCGTGAACACATAGTTGGCAAGAGCAAGCCCAGACGGGCTGTGCCAGTGGGGAGGTTTCCAGTGGCAGAGGATAGTCATGAAGCTTGAGGTCCAGGGGTGAGAGATAGATATCAGGAAGCGATGGCAATAGGGGTGGAGGGACTTTGCAGCTCTGCTCAGAAACCTTCTGGTAGCAACAACTGCATTGTGCAGAAAATCATTTCATGCCCATGGCAGCCTGTGCCCACAGTGAACAAGTGCTAAGATCTGAGCTGTGAAAGGCAAAGGCCTTGTCTCATTCATCCTTGTTGAACCACTGCTCAAACAGACCTGAACATAATAGGTGCTCAGTGCATGTTTGATTGAATAAACAGTGCACTTTGAAAATACTGGAAACTCTGGAGTGTGGGGAGGCATTTAATGTTCAAACAGTCAATTCCCAAAGGGTCAGGAGTCTAGCAGTACATGCCCTGGGAATGGCAGGGGGACAGCAAGGAGGCCAGAATTTGTGGGGAATGAACCTGGGAAGATGAGTTTCAGTCAAGATTCTTGGTGCCAGCATTACCAGACTCCTCTGATTGATTGAAGGTGAAAAGGTGTGTATTGAAAGGATGCTGTTGTCTCACAATTGACAGGAAAGCTGGACAACAGCTTTGGAAAACAGGTGGGAACCAATGAGGCCTGGCAGCAGGAAGACATGGCCAGACTCACACTGCAGGGATGTGCTGCCAGGGAACTGCCATGGCACTGCTGGCCTTTGTTCACACCGCCACCTTCAACGAGATTAACTGTTCAATGCCTCAGTGTCTTTTCATCACTCCCTGGTGACCTAAGCCCAGGCAGGAGCACCTAGCTGGCAAGCCTAGGTCATATTCCCAAACCCTGGTGCTCTCAGCATGGCAAGAGGGAGAATCTGGCCCCTTTAGGGTCTAGTGAAGGTGGTGGGACCCTGTGAGGAGCTCCCCAGATAGGAAGGGTACTCAGATTTTAATTAGGAAAAAAAATCCAATAGATCCTAAAGAAAATTTGAGGCTGGATTATGATTTATTGTCCATCTGAACGAAGGAGTTAGATTTTATCTAGAAGGAAACAGAACTTTATGGAAACAGAACTTTCCATAAAGAGTATGATGTAATCCTCTTTGCTTTTCTGGAGAAATGTTTAGGTCTGTGCAGATGCAGGCTGGAGTAGGGGAGAGCTTGGGAGCAGGGGATTGAATAGCAGCATGGGTTAGACATAATGAAAGCCAGAAGTAATTCATGGCGGTGAGGATAAAGGATAGTCATGAAGCATTCCAGAGACAATCCTTAGATTTTTTCGCATAGAGAGTGGACTTTTGTTGCTGAATAAAACCCAGGGATTTGTTTACTTCCAGTTAGAACCATGTGGTAGATAAATATGCTTGCCTGTTTGGCTGCTAGGTGACTGGGACATTACCTCGTGTTGCATTCATTTGAACTCTTTTATTGGCGTTTTCAGAATTATCTATTCTGGACTACCTCATAAAGATAATATCCTGATGCACGGGGAAGTTTAGTGGTGTCTGAATGGACTGTAAGTCCATTTCCTAAGTCAACCACGATTTCCAATATATCCTCTTTATCCTCCTGAGCCTCTGAAGTTTAATATATTATGCCTCCTATTCTTTAGTTACACTGTTCTGTTTTATACTTAAAAACTTGTAGTACAGAAGCTGATAGGCACAAATTAATTCTAATTAGTATGGATGGAACATTTCATTGCTAGATGCCAGATAGCACAATATTATTTCAGTCTTTTCATTAAAAGGAAAGTTAGAGTGACATAAAAAATATGATATATTTAATTTCATTTGTTTCCTAAATTCTTAAGAAAGAGGACAGGACAAGTTATGCACCTTGCTCAATAAGGTGGCTTTTTTTTTTTTGATAGGGTCTCACTCTGTTGCCCAGGCTGGAGTGCAGTGGCACGATCATAGCTCACTGCAGCCTCAACCTCCCTGGGCTCAGGTGATCCTATTGCCTTAGCCTCCCAAGTAGCTGGGACTACAGACACATGCCACCATGCCCAGCTAATTTCTTAATTTTTTTGTAAAGACAGAGTCTCCCCATGTTGCCCAGGCTGATTTCAAACTCCTGGGCTCAAGCGAGCCACCTACCTTGGCCTTCTAAAGTGCTGGGATTACAGGCATGAGCCAAGGTGGCATTTTAATATAGGAGATTGGTGCCCAAGATTTGAAATGTACTCCATTAAATGTGCTTTGGCCCCTAAATGAATGCTATTGTGTTGAAACTAGCATTTTCATTTTGAATGCCTCTTTATAGGGCTAGACAAGGTCTCACAGATGTTTTTCTCTACCAGAAAGGATATCAAGTGAAGACAAGCTGGGGGCGTCTGTGCACGTGAGGGTATTACTATATGTAACTTGAAAGCCCAGTGTCCTTCTCTTCCCTATCTCTGGTGCTACACCTGCTATGAATGTAGGGACCTGATTTTCCCACTCAGAACAGATGTGACCTGGCTCTGGTTAGCTCTGGTTAGAGCTAATCTGTGCTGTCTCTGAAAATCCAGGACGCATAGTAACCGAATCCATGGTGTTCATGATGGATCCTTCCCAAAAATATTCAGGAAAGAAGAGAAGTAGAGAAGAATCCCTGGGCTATTTCTTCCCCACACTAGGTATGGCTATTTCCACACCTAGTTGTAATGTGGTAGATAGCTTGGCCATGTGTTTCACTCCTATGAGATAGGTTAATGTTTTCCAGAACTTTCACTACTGAATGGTTTTAAAAATGTGTAGTGTTGGGTAGGTGTGGCGGTGGCTCACGCCTGTAATTCCAGCACTTTGGGAGGCCAAGGTAGGTGATCCCTTGAGCTCAGGAGTTCGAGACCAGCCTGGGCAACGTGGTGAAATCCCATCTCAACCAAAAATACAAAAATGAGCTAGGCCTGGTAGTGGTGCATGTGTGTAGTTCCAGCTACTTGGGAGGCTGAGGTGGGAGGATCACTTGAGCCCAGGAGGTTGAGGCTGCAATGAGCCGAGATGGTACCACTGCACCCCAGCCTGGGGGCAGAGCCAGACCCTGTCTCAAAAATAAATAAATAAATACAATAGTAAAAATTAAAATGTGTAAAGTGGGTTGTAAAAACTCAATAAAATGAAATAAACTAATACAAGTCATTCACTTAATTTTACTGTAATATTATCCATTGGTAATGTTATTGAAATCACTAAAAATATTGCATCTGCTATATTTTTGGTCATTTCTAAAAACTTTCTTATAAGACTTTGACCTTCATTATATGTTTCTTCTTAATCTTCACAGCATGATTTTGTGTTTTTGGACATTTGTATTGATTCTTCTCCAATTGGAAGACTGATTTTTGAGGTAAGACTTTTTTTTTTTAAATAAGTTTGTGGGGGTAGGATCTATAACTGTTGGAGTGTTAAATATTTAATCTTTGAAACCTTTTGTCTTTATTTTGTAGCTATACTGTGATGTATGTCCCAAAACATGTAAAAATTTTCAGGTCTTGTGCACAGGAAAAGCAGGGTTTTCTCAACGTGGCATAAGACTACATTACAAAGATTCCATTTTTCATCGAATAGTACGGAATGGCTGGATACAAGGAGGGGGTAAGTTTAAAATGTTAAATACAACTTAATTGCAATATCAAATGAGAAGGTCCAAACTTCCGTTTATCTTTATGAAGTGTATATAGAATTAGATATACTTAAAATTAGACATATTTAAAGAATAATTATGCTTTATATAGCCAAATAATGAAGTAAGATATTTGTATTCTTTAAAAAACACCCTAATTATTAAAATAAGTAAATCTAATTTATGTTACCAGGAATATTCCAAATTCAAAAATGACATAAGAGAGTAGGGTGACATTGCATTTTACCAATTTTATTTTCACCAATTTTAAATGCTTACCTAAATACATAATACCTAGAAGTACTGTGGTTTTAATAAGTATACTAAGAGTGGGAATTTGAAAGTATAATAATGGAAAACAACTTATTTCTCACCAAACATGTTACATTATTACACGTAAAAAGTAATGTCTAGGCCGGGCGCGGTGGCTCACGCCTGTAATCCCAGCACTTTGGGAGGCCGAGGCGGGCGGATCACAAGGTCAGGAGATCGAGACCACGGTGAAACCCTGTCTCTACTAAAAATACAAAAAATTAGCCGGGCGCGGTGGCGGGCGCCTGTAGTCCCAGCTACTCAGGAGGCTGAGGCAGGAGAATGGCGTAAACCCGGGAGGCGGAGCTTGCAGTGAGCCGAGATCGCGCCACTGCACTCCAGCCTGGGCGACAGAGCGGCTGTCAGACAGACTCTGTCTCAAAAAAAAAAAAACAAAAAAAGTAATGTCTAAAGGAGTTTGGTTTCTATGTTCGCGTTCTTTTCAGGTCAGTCCTTTGGTTTTACATAGACTAGGTGTCTGATTAAAAGCATGGAATTAAATGTTGTGTGCCTTTTGGGGGATATTCCATAGGGAGCAGCCAGGCAGCAATTTACAAATAATTGGCTCAGTGTCAAAGGAGATTTGCTTGAACTTGATGACACATTGAGAAGCTTAAATTGGTGTTGACCATTTTTTGTATGATCTGGAACATTCTGATGCTGATGAGGAGAAAAATAGAGATATATTCTGAGCATCCTGCATGTTAAATCAAGTTATTTTCCCTTTGGTTTCTCCACAATGAGATCATACTGCAAGTATTGTTATCTAACCTCACTTTCAAGTGTTTTTCCATTTTGTCTCTTTCCACTGAATATGTGGTATCGATCTAACTATGCCAATGAACATAAACATACAAAACGTTTAGCGTCTGCCTAGTTTTTTTTTTTTTTTAATCATATTGCTATACCAGTTTAATTAATTTCCTAAGCACATCAAGCATACATGGGCCCTGAGGTCTCGTTTATTTTGCCTGGGGCACACACCACCCAACTTGTTCCTGCAGGTATCCCTTGTTTCTGATTATTGCCCAGAGTTTATCTCAGCAAGGCCTTACCAGCCCACCCTATATGAAACTGCCATCTTTCTCTCCACACACTCTGCTCACCCCTCCTTCCACCCTCCTACTCCTTACCTTGCTTTATCTTTCTTCGTAGCACTTTTCATCATTAGACATACTACCATAGATTTCTGAGTTCATTTGTTTATTGTCTGTTCCTCTAAATTCCATGAGGGCAGAAATTTTTATCTATTTTATTCACTATGGTATCCCAGGTACTACAACAGTGTTTGAGATATAGTAGGTGCTTAATAAATACTTGTAGAAAGAAAAGAAGGAAGAAAGACAGAGAAAGAAGGAAAATAGATGGTTAAACAGGAAACATACATTCTCTGCATTTTGAAAGTCCAAAGTTAAGATAGCAAGTCGTTCTACCACTTTGGTTGGATTCTCCCTTGGGCTCCCTCGAGGCCTACTTCCTTCAGAAGGATTAAAAAAAGTCGGCCGGGCGCGGTGGCTCGCGCCTGTAATTTGGGAGCACTTTGGGAGGCCGAGGCGGGCGGATCACGAGGTCAGGAGATCAAGACCATCCTGGCTAACATGGTGAAACCCCGTCTCTACTAAAAATACAAAAAATCAGCCGGGCGTGGTGGCGGGCGCCTGTAGTCCCAGCTACTCAGGAGGCTGAGGCAGGAGAATGGCGTGAACCTGGGAGGCGGAGCTTGCAGTGAGCCGAGATTGCACCACTGTACTCCAGCCTGGGTGACAGAGTGAGACTCCATCTCAAAACCAACTCTTTGTTAATCAAAGAAAATGAAACAAACTCTTTTACACAAAAGTGATCATGTTTTACATAAGACTAAAAGATATATATATATAATGGGCGAGGATATCCAGAACCCACCAAATAATTCCAGTAAGAAAATTCAAGCACTTAACAAAGATTCATTTTTCAATAGCCCATTAGTCACAGAACAGTTACCCAACTATTAACAATTAAACCTACCTATATATTAGAAATACATTTCATTTCACCCATACATCCAACACACTTTAAAATGGATAGAGGAAAATTTTATTAACTGGCTTTAGAAAAAAAAAAGTACCTATTGAACTCATATATTATATTATTATTATTATGTTGAGACAGAGTCTCGCTTCGTCATCCAGGCTGGATTATATGGCACCATCTCAGCTCACTGCAACCTCCACCTCTGGGGTTCAAGTGATCCTCCTGCCTCAGCCTCCCAAGTAGCTGGGATACAGGCATGCTCCACCATGCCCAGCTAACTTTTTGTATTTTTAGTAGAGATGGGGTTTCACCATTTTGGCCAGACTGGTCTTGAACTCCCAACCTCAAGTGATCTGCCCACCTCGGCCTCCCAAAGTGCTGGGATTACAGGCGTGAGCCACTGTGCCCGGCTGAACTCATGTATTATTGCTTAAAGAAAACATACCGAATTCTTACCTCAGCTTTCCCTTGTAAAAAAAAAAAGTGGAAATCCATAGTCCAGAGATTCTCTTTAAGAATAAGCATTGCTATGGTGTGAGTTGGCTGAAGGTAAAGAGATATGAATGAAAGTAGTAAAAACAAATAAAAACAGAATGAGCTGCTTTGATAAGCACAATATGTTTATAACTCATAAAACATTTCATTCATGTTGTGAATTTTCTCGAGCATTACAAAATAATTAATATGCTTCAGGCTTTCCATTTGACTTACATCTATAGGATTTCTTTCCAGTAGGAGTTTTCACACGAATTTTAAATTAATTGTCTAAATGAACTTTTCTGTGTTTTTCTAACTACTAGGGTTCTAATCAAGTATGCGTTTTTATATTTATAAGGTCCACCTCCAGTGTGTATTATTGTGTGACTTTGAATGGATTCGAGAGAAATGAAGGCATTCCCACATTCTTTTTTTTGAGACGGGGTCTTTTTCTGTTGCTCAGACTGAGAGCAGTGGCACAATCACAGCTCACTGCAGCCTCAACCTCCTGGACTCAAGTGATCTTCCCACCTCAGCCTCCTAAGTAGCTGGAATTACAGGCACACATTACCATGCCTAGCAAATTAAAAAAAATTTTTTTGTAAAGACAGGGTCTCTCTATGTTGCCCAGGCTGGTCCTGAACTCCTGGACTCAAAGACTCAATCCTCTTGCCTCAGCCCTACCAAAGTGTTGGGAATATAGGCATGGGTCTTAGCCTATCACCCAGGCTGGAATGCAATGGCATGATCATAAGTCTCACTGCAGCCTTGAACTCCTCCCACTTCAGCCTCTCAAGTAGCAGGGATTACCAGCACATGCTGCCATGACCAGCTAATTTTTAAAAATTTCTGTAGGCTGAGCACGGTGGCTCACGCTTGTAATTCCAGCACTTTGGGAGGCCAAGGCAGGTGGATCATGAGGTCAGGAGTTTGAGACCAGCCTGGCCAATATGGTGAAACCTCATCTCTACTAAAAATACAAAAATTAGCTGGGTGTGGTGGCACGTGCCTGTAGTCCTAGCTGCTCAGGAGGCTGAGGCAGGAGAATTGGTTGAACCCGAGTGGCGGAGGTTGCAGTGAGCCGAGATGGTGCCATTGCACTCCAGCCTGGGCAACAGATCAAGACTCTGTCTCAAAAAAAAAAAAATTTGTAGAGACAGGGTCTCACTATATTGCCCAGGCTGGTCTTGAACTCCTGGCCTCAAGCAACCCTCCCACCTCGGCCTCCCAAAGTGCTGGGATTATAGGCATGAGCCACCGTACCTGGCCACATTCTGTACATTCAGAGCTCTTCTCCAGAATGAGTTGTTTTATATTATCAAATAGAACTAGAACACCAAAGGCCCTTACCACATTTCCTCTATTCATAAGACATTTCTTCAGTGTGAGTTCAGAAGGATCTTTTGAGATAAATTTAATGCATTTTATTATCATCATCATCATATTGAGCAGAATGATGAAGATGATGATAATGAGAGGGGGCATTCTAGAAACATGTGATGCTACATGGGCATGACATTCTGCCAGGCACTGCCCGAGTGCTCTACCTGTGTTATTTCATTTCATCCTCAGAGCTACCTGTGAGGCAGTTACCATTATCCCTGTTTATACAGATAAGCAAACAGTCTTGGAAAAAGTAACCGACATCAACATTTTCATCAAAATCATCTGACTTTAAAGTTTGCTTAAACCAGTATTCGGCACTCTGAATTTGTTGTCAAAAGTATAGCAATAATATCAGATATACAGGGCTGAATTCAAGAGGGTGGACTGTGGCCACAAAAAAAGAATAGTAAATACGGATTGAAATGGTGTCAATATAAAATATTCACCTAGGAGATCTGAAACAGAGGACAAGAGTAATGTTGGTGAGTGTGGGAGGGAGGGGGTAAGGGAATGTGACCAATGGGTAGGTAAGTTGGCAGGGGAGAAGACCACCTGGGCGGAGTTCCCTGAGAGAACCAACCCCTAGGATCTGAAGGAATTGATGAGGGGGGGCCCTCAGCTTCCCCATTTCCAGATTTAGCCTTCAGCCATGGCAACTTCCTTTCGAGAGTTGCCTGAGGCTGTGTAGTGAACTGTGGCTGAGTGTCAGGTGAGTCGGGTTGGAGACTTAAGGCTTATCAACTAACTTCTGAGCCAGCTTTCGAAATAGTATAATTTAAATGCTGCATGGCCTTTCTGGGATAAATTCTTTTTATATGCTTGATGTTGCATCAGTTTTCTTTGAAAAATAGCACACACACTTTTATTATAGGTAAATTGCTCATACTGACTTTAAAAAGCATAGTCCTTCAATGAACATTTATTGAGCACTGTATTAAAGGAGGGAGCGGAGTAGAGCTGAAGTTCATAGAGAGAGACTGTTGGGGAGGATGGGGGAGAGAGGACAGACCTCAGAGCCCACTCTTTTCACTAGAGTTAGCTTTGCTCCTCTTTTAGCTGTGGATAGATAAAAAATAACTTGTTCATGGAGTCTTTTTATAGTGGGAGCAGTGCCTAAACCAAAATATGTGTAGCATGTGAACACCTGAAAAAAAACTTGTTACATTATAGGAAACTTTATTTCCAATACACTAGGTAAATAAATGAGTTATCACTACAGGATATGAAATTTTGAACATGAATTCTGTTTGCAGCATGTATTTTTTATTCATATTCTTTTTTTTTTTTTTCTTTTTTTTGAGATGGAGTCTTGCTCTGTCACCCGAGCTGGAGTGCAGTGGCGCGATCTTGGCTCTCCGCAAGCTCCACCTCCTGGGTTTAAGCGATTCTCCTGCCTCAGCCTCCCGAGTAGCTGGGATTACAAGCACCAGCCACCACACCCAGCTAATTTTTGTATTTTTGGTAGAGACAGGTTTCACCGTGTTGGCCAGGCTGGTCTCAAACTCCTGGCCTCAAGTGATTTGCCTGCTTCGGCCTCCCAAAATGCTGGGATTACAGGTGTGAGTCGCCACGCCCGGCTCCATTTTTTATACATATTCTAAAAATAACTTACTTTTCCTGTTTTAGCCTCTTAGTTTAATCTTAATTTCAGAAAAGCACGATGGACTGTGGAATAATTTATGAAGTAAGCAGGATTTATGTGAACATACTTTTGAAAAATTGTGGCCACAATTATAATTTAATGCTTCATCCTTTCAAAATTTTGCATTATGAATGTAAAAGTGCTTACAAAATACAAGTGAAATTATTATAGTAATTTTTTGTAGTATGATTATTGAACAATTAGGTAACTTATTCATTGGTATAAGTGGAATCATATTGTATTCTTTTTTTTTTTTTTTTTTTTTTTTAATGGAGATAGAGTCTCATTATGTTGCTCAGGCTGGTCTCAAACTCCTGGGCTCCAGTGATCATCCCACCTCAGCCTTAGAATCATCATTTAAAGCAACATTTTTTCCCTTTCTTTACTGCATCCTAAATCTTTTCATCTCAAAATTCTAATGTTTATTTATTGCTATTTCTCAGATATAGTGTATGGAAAAGGAGATAATGGAGAGTCGATTTATGGACCAACATTTGAAGGTATGTATCTTTACATTTTGTTAGTTATTTATTAGTTGATTATTCAAACTTAACAGGACTGGACAGTTTCACGATTCCAGATAAGATATCACTGGGGGCAATACTTAACAGAGTTAAAAATGAGCAGATTGGGGGGAAGCACCCTAAGGCCCGACCAGAGCAGCTTCATATGCACAAATTTTTTTCACTTACCTAATGATATTATTTCTTCAGGATAAATCCCAGAATTAGGATTGTAGAGTCAAAGGGAATTTATATTTTTAGGACTTGTAATTTTCCGTGCTGATACTTAGAACTGGTACCTTGATAATCATTCTATTTAGATTGCTGTCAGGTAGCCAGGTATTGTGACTCATGCCTATAATCCCAGCACTTTGGGAGGCTGAGGTGGGCGGATCATTTGAGGTCAGGAGTTCGAGATCAGCCTGGCTAATATGGTGAAACTCTCTCTCTACTAAAAATACAAAAATTAGCCAGGCGTGATGGCACACGCCTCCCAGCTCCTCAGGAGGCTGAGGCAGGAGAATCACTTGAACCTGGAACACAGAGGTTGCAGTGAGCTGAGATGGTGCCACTGCACTCCAGCCTGGGCGACAGAGTGAGACTCAGTCTCAAAAAAAAAAAAAAAGAAAAGATTGCTCTCGGTAGAAAAATCCTGTATAACATTTACAACAAAAGTAGGTGACAAAGAATCTACCTAAATTCCAAAATACAAACAGGTAAAGACAAACAACAAACCAACAGTGTGGAAGAGGGCAGGGCTTCCCAAGAATAGGGTACTTAGGATCCCCTAAGTAGCCAATAGTGTGTGAGTACAAGGGTCCCCCAGGAAGGTTGGAAGAGGCAGGAGCAGTCTAACCCCTGTACACTCTCAAAACTGATCTGACAAGGCTCTCTTCCAGGACAGTCTCCCATGCAGGTGGAACTGCTGGGAATGGCAGCAAAATTAACCAGGATACAGGGACAATCATGACAAAGAGGGAATAGGAACAGAGTCAGAAATTTAAGGAAGAAAGCCACATGCTTCAACATGCAAGATTTTCAACATGCAAGAGGGAGCTTTTTGAAACTAGAAAATCTACGTTCTTTCTAAAGACATATCCTCTGACATTTAGAAAAACTAATGTCACCCTATATAACAAAGAGAGGTTCTCTGAAAGAAAATGATGTTTCTTCAGGAATAGGGCATTGCAGTAGGCATACGTGTGCCGTAGGAAACGATGTGCATATTCAGGAAGGTAAAGGGAGAGAAAGGGTTTTAAAGGAAAATTGGGGAAGATTTCATTATTGTTTTGAAATGATTATCCTTGGCTACAGCGATCAGTAACAAGGTTCCAAGGTTGGACTGGACAGGTGTCCCTGCAGAAGTATTAATATTTCCTGCATAAGGTTGCAATGGCCTTTATGCAAGGTTGTGGCTTTTGTAGTTCTTTGTGATTGTTTTGTTATCAGGCATACAAGTGTGAGAGTTCTCTGTTCATAACTTTCCTTGGCTCTATTTGTCAGCGTTTTTTAAACACACGTGAGTACATTTTGATTCTGACCACTATTACACTAATTTTATATTAAAATGAACAATGGAAGTTTCAAGGTGATTATAAGAATAAAGAGAATAAGGAGCAGAGTAACATCAGCACTGATAATGAATGTACCCTAGAAAGACATGCTCATAGGATACAGTTGACCCTGGAGCAACATGGATTTGAACTGTACGAGTCCACTTAAAGAAACTTACAGTTTCTTTAAAAAAAAAAATAGAGACAGGGTCTCACTATGTTCCCCAAGCTGGGCTTGAACTCCTGGGCTCAAGCAGTCTTCCCATCTTAGCCTCCTGAGTAGGTGGGACTGCTGCCTACTTGGACTACCACCTAGCTTGGCTTGTTTTCAGTAAATATATGAGAGCATTTTTTGGAGAAGCTGCCACTGCAGCTATACCATCAGGTGTGAAAACCTTGCACTTTTTTGTGAAATACTTTTACCTTTTTTTTTTTTTTTAAGAGACAGTGTCTCACTTTGTCGTCCAGGCTAAAGTGCAATGGAGTGATCATAGCTCATGGTAACATTAAACTCCTGGGCCCAAGGGATCTTCCTGCCTCAACCTCCCAGGTAACTAGGGCTACAGGTGCATGCCACCATGCTGGCTAATTAAAAAAAAAAATTTATAGAGATGGGGTCTTGCTCTGTTGTCCAAGCTGGTCTCCAACTCCTGGGCTCAAGTGGTCCTCCTGAGTTGGCCTCCTGAGTCATTGGGATTACAAGTGTAAGCCACCACGCCTAGCCTGCAAAATACCTTTTTTGTCTTGTATTGAAAATGCAGCTTTTATGTGGGCACAGGATGGCTATAAGAAAGGCAGAACTATAGACTCTAATATGATTTGAGAAAAAGCAAAGCTATTATATGACAACGTAAAACAAAAGGAAGGTAAAAGACCTAAAACTGGAGAATTTAATTCCAGCAAAAGATGGTTTGATAATTTTAGAAAAGGAATAGGCTAACTGTACTGTTTTGTGCCAATGCAGTTGGGTTTATGATCCAGACTACCCCTAACCATAAAGCTGCTAACCTAAACACCCACTGCCAGCCTTTTGGTTGTACAAAAAGGGCTGGACAATGAGAACCCTTTTTCTAGATTGGTTCCATCAATACTTTCTCCCTGAAGTTAGGAAGTACCTTGCCAGTAAGGGACTACCTTTTAAAAAGTTCTTTTGATATTGAACGATGATGCCCCTGGCCACCAGAACACCATGAGTTCAACACTGAAGGCATCAAAGTGGTCTACTCGCCCCCAAACACAACATGTCTAATTCAGCCTCTAGTTTGGGGGTCATAAGGACCTTTAAGGCTGATTACACATGATACTCTATGGAAAGGATTGTCAACATCATGGAAGAGAACCCCAATAGAGAGAACATCATGAAAGTCTGGAAGGATTATACCATTCAAGATGCCATGTTGTTGTAGAAAAAGCCATGAAAGCCATCAAGCTGAAAACAAGTGTCTGCTGGAGAAAATTGTGCCCAGATGTGCGTGTCTTCATGGGATTTATGACAGAGCCCATAAAGGAAATCATGAAAGAGATTTGTGGGTATGGCAAAAAAGATGAGGGGTGAACATTGTCAAGATACGGATCTTGGAGAAATTCAGGGCCTAATATATACCACAGCAGAGGCATTAAAAGATGACTTGATGGAGATGAGTGCCTCTGAACCAGTGCCAGATCATGAGGAAGAAGACATAGAAGAAGCAGTGTCAGGAAACAAATCGACACTAGACAATCTGGCGGAAGGGTTCCAGTTACTCAAGACTACTTTTGACTTCTTTTACAACATAGACCCTTTTATGATAAGAGCAATGAAACTAAAGCAAAGAGTGGAAGAAGGATTGATACTGTATGGAAACATTACTAGAGAAATGAAAAAGCAAAAAGTCAAACAGAAATTATAATGTATTTCCGTAAAGTTACACTGGTGTGTCTGCCTTTCCTGCCTCCCCTTCCACCTCATCCACCTCTGCCTCTGCCACCCCTGAGACAGCAAGACCAACTCCTCCTCTTCCTCCTCCTCAGCCTACTCAGTGTGACAAGGATGAGGACCGTTATGATGATCCACTTCCACTTAATGAATAGTAAATATATTTTCTCTTTCTTATGATTTTCTTTATAACATCTTATTTTCTTTAGCTTATTTTATTGTAAGGATACAGTATACAATACATATAGCGCACCAAATATATGTAATCGACTGTTTCTGTTACTGATAAGGCATCTAGTCCGTTGCAGACTATTAGTAGTTAAGTTACTGGGGAGTCAAAAGTTATATGTGGATTTTTGACTGCTCCAAGGGGTTGGTGTCCCTAACCCCCACATTGTTTAAGGGTCAACTGTAGATCAAAACTGTAACAGTCTATATCAAAATAAGCTAAAAGAAGCCTGGGCAACATGGCAAACCCCATCTCCACAAAAAATACAAAAATTAGCTGGACATAGTGGTGCACACCTGTAATCCCAGCTACTCAGGAGACTGAGGTGGGAAGATCGCTTGAGCCTGGGAGGCAGAGGCTGCAGTGAGCCAAGATTGCACCACTGCACTCCAGCCTGGGCAGCAGAGTAAGACCTTGTCTCAAAAAAAAAAAAAAAAAAAAAAAAAAGGCTAAAAGACATTAAGAAAATGACACAAGACATGAAAGAGGTCATAAATCAGAATTAGAAAAACTTAAACATGATGTGACAGAGCTGAGGAAAGAAGGGCTGAGGAAAGCAATGAAAGAAAAATAATTTCAGAAGTGAGTAAACCACAAGGAACACAAGAGGAAATAAAAATACAACGTATGTCCTAAAAGAAGTAGAAGGTAGGCAGAGGAATTTTTTTGTTTGCTTTAATTTTTGTGGGTACATAGTAGGTGTATATCTTTATGGGGTACTTGAGATATTTTGATACAGGAAAGCAATGCAAAATAATCACATCATGTAAAATAGGGTATCCATCTCCTCAAGCAGTTGTCCTGTGTGTTACAAACAATCCAATTATACACTTTTATTTTAAAAGGTACAATTATTATTGACTGTAGTCGCCCTGTTTTTCTATCAAATACAAGGTCTTATTCATTTTTTCTATTTTTTTGTGACTGTTAACCATCCCCACCACCCCACTTTAACCCCCACTACCCTTCCCAGTCTCTGGTAACCATCCTTCTACTCTCTGTCTCCATGATTTCATTTGTTTTCATTTTTAGATCTCACAAATACATGAGAACATGTTATGTTTGTCTTTCTGTGCCTGGCTTATTTCACTTAGCATAATGACCTCCAGTCCCATCCATGTTGTTGCAAATGACATGATCTTATTCTTTTTTATGGCTGAATAGTACTCCATTGTGTATATGTACTACATTTTCTTTATCCATTCATCTGTTGATGGACACTTAGGTTGCTTCCAAATCTTGGTGACTGTGAACAGTGCTGCAACAAACATAGGAGTGCAGATATCTCTTTGATATAATG